ATTTTGCGGTTTTATCCCTTTTAAAACCGTTTTACTACTTATGCTTCAAATATGTGCTTCACGTTATAGCATTTAAGTATTGTCTTCAATTTTATAGTTTTTAAGATCTTTTTGTCTTAAACGAAAATAGTAAAAAAAATTGGGCCTTAAAACTTTTAAAGCATTTAAGACCTGTTTTCTAAAACGTTTAGATTTAAGACCTGTATCTCACAACGTTATTGCATTTAAGATCGATGTCTTACAATGTTATAGCATTTAAGATCTGTGTCTAACAACGTAATAGCATTTAAGATATGTGTGTAACAACGTTATAGAATTTAAGATATGTGTCTTACAACGCTGTAGTATCTAAGATATGTGTCTTATAACGTTATAGAATTTGTGATATGTGTCTTACAACGTTATATTATTTAAGATCTTTGTCTTACAACGTTATAGCATTTAAGATATGTGTCTTACAACGTTATATCATTTAAGATATGTGTCTTACAATGTAATAGCATTTTAGACCTGTGTCTTAATAACGTTGTAGCATTTGTGATATGTGTTTTACAACGTTATAGTATTTAAGACCAGTGCCTTACAATGTTTATAACATTTAAGATATGTGTCTTTCAAACGTTTTACCAATTTAACATATGTGTTTACAACGTTCTAGTATTTAAGATATGTGTTTAACAACGTTATAGTTTTAAGACCTGTGTCTTACAACGTTATAGCATTTAAGATATGTGTCTAACAACGTTATATCATTTAAGATCTGTGTCTTATAACGTTATTGCATTTAAGATATGTGTCTTACAACGTTATATTATTTTAGATCTGTGTCTTACAACGTTATAGCATTTAAGATACGTGTCTTACAACGTTATATCATTTAAGACCTGTGTCTTATAACGTTATAGAATTTGTGATCTGTGTCTTACAACGTTATATTATTTAAGATCTTTGTCTTACAACGTTATAGCATTTAAGATATGTGTCTTACAACGTTATATCATTTAAAGATCTGTGTCTTATAACGTTATTGCATTTAAGATATGTGTCTTACAAACGTTATATTATTTAAGATCTTTGTCTTACAACGTTATAGCATTTAAGATATGTGTCTTACAACGTTATATCATTTAAGATCTGTTCTTATAACGTTATAGCATTTAAGATATGTGTCTTACAACGTTAAAAAGTATTTAAGCACCTGTGTCTTATAACGTTATAGAATTTGTGATATGTGTCTTACAAACGTTATATTATTTAAGATCTTTGGTCTACAACGTTATAGCATTTAAGAATATGTGTCTAACAACGTTATATCATTTAAGATCTGTGTCTCTATAACGATTATTGCATTAAGATATGTGTCTTACAACGTTTATATTATTTTAGATCTGTGTCTTACAACGTTATATAGCATTAAGATATGTGTCTTACAACGTTTATATCGTTTAAGACCTTTGTGTCTTTATAACGTTATAGATTTGTGATATGTGGTCTTACAACGTTATATATTTATTTAAGATCTGTGTCTTACAACGTTATAGCATTTAAGATATGTGTCTTACATCGTTATATTATTTAAGATCTGTGTCTTATAACGTTATAGCATTTAAGATATGTGTCTAACAACGTTATAGTTTTAAGACCTTTGTCTTATAACGTTATTGCATTTAAGATATGTGTCTTACAACGTTATATCATTTAAGATCTGTGTCTTATAACGTTATTGCATTTAAGATATGTGTCTTACAACGTTTTATTATTTAAGATCTGTGTCTTACAACGTTATAGAATTTAAGATATGTGTCTTACAACGTTATATCATTTCAGGTCTGTGTCTTACAACGTTATAGCATTTAAGATATGTGTCTTACAACGTTAAATCATTTAAGATCTGTGTCTTACAACGTTATAGCATTTAAGATATGTGTCTTACAACGTTATATCATTTAAGATATGTGTCTTATAACGTTATAGAATTTGTGAAATGTGTCTTACAACGGTATATCATTTAAGATATGTATCTAACAACGTTATAGTTTTAAGACCTGTGTCTTACAATGTTATAGCATTTAAGATATGTGTCTTACAACGTTATATCATTTAAGATATGTGTCTTATAACGTTATTGCATTTAAGATATGTGTCTTACAACGTTATATCATTTAAGACCTGTGTCTTACAACGTTAAATCATTTAAGATCTGTGTCTTACAACGTTATAGCATTTAAGATATGTGTCTTACAACGTTATATTATTTAAGATCTGTGTCTGACAACGTAATAGTATTTGTGATACGTGTCTTACAACGTGATTGCATTAAAAACCTGTGTCTTACAACGTTATAGCAATTCAGTTCTATGTTTAACAACGTTATAGCATTTGTGATCGATATACATGTAGATGCTAGAAGAAGAAAAAACAACAAAAAGAAAACCCTTTTACATATTTGTAGCACAGACGCTTTGGCGTCACATTTATTAAACGCATCACGTACCCAATTTTTTCCATGCAAATCAATTAACATTTATCTGAACTAATTTCAGGACACGTGGAAGGCGTTCAGGAGCTCCGCACCTATACGGGACAGTATACTCGCGTTTACGGTATATGATTTTATTTCATGCTAGTCAAAATAACTCATCTCACACAACACTCCCTATTAAAATCAACTTTTCACTACCGCAAAATTTGTTCAAAAGGCTTGCCCTCTTTCTATTTGGGTATTTTAAAATAGCTCATGAATTCATTACAGGCACCCCACTTTTCTTAAAATGAATTATCCCGTTTCGTTTTGAATTACAGTTGAGGATTTCAACATCAAATTTATAAAGATTGGTCAAACAACAAAGTACAGTAGTGTGCATGCTGGTCTGGCTCTATTCTGTATCAATATGTTTGTAAATAAGCAGACGACAGATGATCATGGTCAGACAACATGGATGTGCTTGTCTATTATCTCCCCTTGCGTCTTGCGAGTTGATCAAGTATAGCACGTGCGTTTTAGGTTCCCTGCAGATCATTTCATGCATGTGTATTTTCACAAACGAATATTCGGAAATTTTTTGTCATAACATCAATGGAATTCCAGAACGTTTTGTAGATTTTTTGTCTCTTAAATGATTGTTTTCAGACTGAACATCTTAATAAATAAAATCTCATGCAATCTATTCTTAAACAATTCCCCTCCCTATCTGGCAGATTATATTTGATAAATGATCAAAGTTAACATAATCACTAAAAGGGAGATAACTCGTGAAACTCCCAAATGTTTGCGAAAATTATTACCTCCCTTGATCTTGCCATGCTTCTATGTAAAATAGAATATTTTCCCATCAACCCACAATCCTTTGCGCGAGATTCATTCCGCCATCTCTTAAGCTCTTTACGGTTGGTAACTATTTATTTTTATATTAAAGAAGCTCCACTGAGGACAAAGGAATCATAAATCTAAAATTTCAAATTCTTACATAGATCGACTCTGACACCTAAAACAGAAAAATAATATAAACAAGGTAAAATATTCAGCTGAAAATGTGCTCACAAGCTATTGGACAAGACCTTAATCTATTGGTACCCAAACCGCGGAAAAACATTTCCTTTCCCGCCATGTCATAAAACCTCAGTGGTGTCCCTTTAAAGGTTTATTAGCATCACAACTACCGTATGAGCTTTTCAAAAAGGAAATTTCCTGAGAAATTAAAAAAAAATCATGCAACTTGCACTTTATCGACGCCATCCCCTTTAAAAAGGGATGCCAGAGGGGACATGTGCTCCCTTCTACTTAGAGATTTGAAAGGGGGCAGCAGCCCCCCTTATCGACAAGAAGATTTTGGACCTTAGAGAGGCTAAAATTGGCCTCAGGTCGATCTGCAGGTAACGTGTAAAGCCTTTGACACTTTATCAATCCATTAAGAAGTTGCAGCACTTTGAAATCAGTTTTGATGGGAAAAAATCAACGCAAAATAGTGATTTCTGACAATTTGGAGATGTCCCCTCGTTGCAGAAAATTTAAGATGGAGCATTTGTGCCCAGTTGGATGAATATTGAAGCATCTTTTACAGATTCATAGCAATTTAAACTTGTAACAGGAGGCTTTTCAATGAAAACAACAATTTTTCACAAAATGCGCATGCAGTAATGGGTTAAAAAGAGTTAAAATTGAGTAACACTCAGATTATTCCTTTATAGTTTATTAACATTCAGTTTAGATAATAACAAGAAGTAATCACAGACAGCCAAACCCCCCCCCCCCCGCACTCAAAGTTCAATAATCTGAAAGTATAAAGCTGGTATACTTTTACTGTAAGTATTTTGAGTTATAGCCTGAAAATATGCAAATTAAATCTGAAAAAAGGAACAAAGGGCAATTTGCCACTTTTTTGGCGGGGGATTATAATCATAAAAAAATCAATATAGTCAATATTGTCAGTAAATGCATCTGTTTTTTGATTTAAAAAAGTCATATCATAATTGAAATCATTATCATTTATCACTGACTAAACCACGCGATGGTTTCCCGGCAACCCTCCACTTGCAGGCGGTTGACTTTGAATACCTTCAGGAGCATTTCTTGTTTGATGTCCGTAAAGATTTTGACTGGTCGGTTGATATTGCGGCGGAGGGGGCGGGTATGCTGGTGGAGGAGCCCCGCCTCCTGCATGCGGCTGAATCATGCCTTGTTGTTGACCGAATGGCACGTGGTATACTGCTGTTGTCGCTTGGTAACAGAAGAATATGTATAAAGTTCAATTATGGTCATAATTTAAATTTTGAAAGTAAATTATACTTAAAAGCAACTTCAATTCGTTATTCTTGTTTGATTTAACAAGAAGTGTGTTTTTCTCTCTTCAAATTCTGTCAATGATTCTTCGAGAATTATTAGAAATCGAGACAAAATAATGTTAAAATAATTATTTTTGTTAAGTTTATCACTAACAAGAATTTTCACTTACAGACTACAGGTTGTCCCGTATAGCTTGGCTGGATTACTCGACCGGATTGTCCTTTTTGTTTCACACAAATGCAAATCACCGCTATGATAACGCCTATGAGAAAGAGGACACCGAGGGTGACGCCAATAGCCACGCCCACTACATATCCCGAGGTGTCTTCACAACAGTATTCCCGCGGCCAACTACCACAGCAGTCATCACAATATTCATATCCGTCGTCGGTGTGGTAGCAGTATTCATCACCGTTCGTGTATGCTGAAATACAGATAACAAGAGCACTACTTGTGGTGTTAACGCTCACCTGTATATTACAAATTTTCATTAATATTCCAACTTAAAACTGGACATAACTCCTTAACATATTGCTTTCAGGATCATGTCCGTTGTCTTACAACTGTATCTTGCCGTAAGAAATAAGTATTCCAAAGTCTCTTATTGATATTTTTCATAGTGTTGAAATCATTCTATTTCATATGTAATTTTTACACACAAAAAATCTAAGCTAAAAAGGGACATAACTCAAATAAATACTGCTTTCAGAGTTATGCCCCTTGTTTTGCAACTGCGTCTTATCATGAGTTTTAACGTAAGTTTTGTGTTGATTCTTCTTAAAATTGTTTGAGAAATGGGATATATTAAGGTATGACCACCCTAACGGGCACTATAAGGAACTGAAAAATTGGTTACATATTTATCTAAGGCATTTCTGTGAGACATCGCATCTCATACATGCAAAGATAAATTTAAATGTATACTTCTATTGTTTGATTTCAGCATATCAGTGAATTTATATGTAACACATTTGAACAGCAATTTAAACAGTCCCAATTGAGATACGATCACACTTATTCATTTGCTTAATACGACACTTTAGCGAGGAAAATGTTTGCTTTCGATAAAATTTGATACCAATGAATTTATTGTTTGTTCGCTTTTGATCAAGTTTAAAGTGTAACATTGATACTATTGATAAGTATTTGAAGTATATTTGTACTAAATGAACTGTGAAAAGTAGCATAAACAGTCAAACTCAATGTCAATGTAACGTTTGAAGACCGGTGTGCAAAGCAGGTGTAAATCCTACCTATACGAACTTCATTTAGCGTCCAAATAAAACCTTTAAGATTTGGTTGGACACATTTAAAGATCACCTGAGTAATTTAATTTCATTTTTAACGGTTTTCCAGAATTCTCTATTAAGGTAAATATGTTAAAAAAATAAAGTTCGAAATTTTTACGTTTGCAGATAAAATGGGTCACTTTAAACGGCAAAATTTGCAAAAGATAATTAGTTAAGAAATAAACATTTTTGTACGATTCTTAGTCCGTTATGAATAATCAAATGAGCCGCGTCACGACAAAACCAACATAGTGGGTTTGCGACCAGCATGGATCCAGACCAGCCTGCGCATTCGCGCAGTCTGATCAGGATCCATGCTGTTCGCTATCAGTTTCTCCACTTGTATAGAGTTGGTAAGCGAACAGCATGGATACGCAGGCTGGTCTGGATCCATGCTGGTCGCAAACGCATTATGTTGGTTTTGTCATGACACGGCTCATTTTTGTTTTGGATCATCTTACACAATTAAATTATTATTCTGGATAAAACGAATTATTAAAAGCGTTTTTTCTTAAATTTTGAATCAGACCAACATCAAATGATACACCGGTGTCGGAAAAATATTTCCATTTCTTACTGAAATCATAACACAATGTTTGGTAGACTTAATTTTGTGAAATTTTCAACTGTTCTTTAATATAGTTAAATATCTTTTAAATGTGATTTTCAGATAAGATCATACAAATAAATCAGAAAAAACTTACCTATAAAATTAAATCCTAAAATAATCAAATAAGTAAACATTGTATCCATCATGGTCACCTTCTTGTGTTCAAATCTTTCTTTTTTTTTAAGATAATTAATATGAAACGGGTAGGGGGTGCAGGAAATACTGTTCTGTTAGCACAATTGGACACAGTTTTACCGCATTCCAATGGAAAGATAACATTGTTAAAGCATAAATTTATGTGTGCATATAAAACTTTGCCAAATTACGTAGTTTGTAGGATTTAACCGATAAGACTACCAAAGACACAATATAGCATTTGGCAATTAGTAATGTTAGTGATTTAGAATTTCTATGGAACTCAAAATACCATGCACGTTGTTTACATTATGATTTTTTAAAAATTATAACAGTACAAATTGTTTTACTTCTATCGCTCATGTATGAGTGAACTACTATTTACTTAACTTGCCGCCTAAATTTACCGATACTAAAATTACACATTTTCATATGGATTCATTTCTATATGAAGTACATAGGTGCTCATTTCTATATGACGTACATCGGTGATCATTTCTATATGACGTACATTGATGATCATTTCTATATGAAGTACATAGGTGCTCATTTCTATATCACGTACATCGGTGATCATTTCTATATGACAAACATCGGTGATCATTTCTATATGACGTACATCGGTGTTCATTTCTGTAGGACGTACATCGGTGATCATTCTATAAGACGTACATTGATGATCATTTCTACATGACGTACATCGGTGATCATTTCTATATGACGTACATCGGTGATCATTTCTATATGACGTACATTGGTGATAATTTCCATATGACGTACATCGGTGTTCATTTTTATATGAAGTACATCGGTGATCATTTCTATATGACGTACATCGGTGATCATTTCTTTATGAAGTACTTCAGTGATCTTTTCTATATGAAGTACATCGGTAATGTACTTGTATATCGGTGTTTTTTCTATATGACACCTTGTTACATTGACTGGCCGTGTTTTTGACACCTTTTTACTTTGATTGGCCGTTTGAAACAAAAATATTATCCGGGTGTATCACTTTTAAATATGGTTTGTGAATAGATCTTATGGCTTATTTGAAACATTTTCGTGTCCACTTCCTCGAGCTAGTTAAGGTCGCTGAATTCATCCGCGCAGTCTGATCTGGATTCATGCTGTTCGCTTACCAACTCTATTACAAGTAGAGATACTGATAGCGAACAGCATGGATCCTGATCAGACTGCGCGGAAGCGCAGGCTGGTCTTGTTCCATGCTGGTCGCAAACGCACTATGTTGGTTTTTTCGTGACGCGGTTCTGTTAAATGCCCAATTCCAAACATAAAACTTTTTCAAGTTTTGTTTCAATAGATTGAATACATGAATAAATAAGTTAATAATTATCTAAAGTAGAAAGAAAGAAAGAAACAAAGAACCAAACAAACAAACAAAAAAACAAACAAAACAAAACTGATTTTAATTGATCGTACTTCTAAATACAAATGTACATTCATATTAAATTTCACAATACAATAACACTAGATCGCCTTGTGATAATTTCATAATTCAATTTTCTTTATTAATCTTGCAAACTCATTTGACGTACATTTTGTAAAAAGAAATGCGCCACATTTGTGCCATGTGTGAGGAGTATATCAGTAGAATAATGTATTGATTATTGGCAAATTGATACTTTTGAAACAGTTTAAGAAAACTTACTTAATAATGACAACCCGTTCACAGTACTGCTTCAATACCTACTTTGTATGCGTTAAATAAGTATTAGATGTCGTCTGTTATATGCACACAAGGCCGAAGAAATGATTATATCTTTTATTCTTTTAAAAATATCAGGTATCATATTTATTATTGGATTAAGCATTATTTAGCCAATAAATACCTGAATTAATTAAATAATCAAAATCAAGCACTTTTCTCTTCCAAAAAGGGATATGAGAGATACATAAATAATGTTACAAGAAAAGAAAAGAAGAAAAGAAGAAAAAAATTTGACCCTTTTGGGGTTTGAACCCACTGCCCAAAGTTTCAATGTTCTAGCCTATTTGAATACTCTTCAAAGCGGAGGTAATGCATTAGGATGGTCATACTTTAAGTAATAGAAAGAGCATCGAAACACGAGGTTATCTTTGTACGAGAGGCTCCCCCGAGTATTTATCAGATTGCCGAGTGTTTTGATGTTCTTTCTCTTTTGTGTCATAGTCGAACATAAAAACGCGTTCCCTGTTGTCACAATATGAAACCCCAGATAAAAGTAACCAATGAACGAGCATCTGAATATGATATTTCTATTGCTTTCCCTTTCTCTGCCGTCACAATTAGTAAACCCCAGTCAATGGACATGCTCTGGAGTGCGGGTAACTAATACCTGCACTCCAGTAAACGCACTGTGCATGTATATGTATACGATTTAACTCTTACACATTTTCAACAGAAATGATACAAAACATATTTAATGCATTACATCGGGAATAAGTATATACATAATGTATAGGGTTATTCAATACCTACACAACGGTGTATAAATGTACATGTTAGACAAAGTGTAAGACATACAATTTGTCATTTAAATACACGCAGTAATTAACCACTGTAGTAAAAATGGTTGGTAGAAGCGTCGACAAAAAAGATGAAATGTGGACTTACATTAAAGCTCGCTCAAAACTGGGTTGGTCTTTGAAGCAGTTGATGACTGAACTCTCTACTGCTTATGGGCCTTCTTGTGTGTCTTATTACACAGTTAGGCGATGGAGAAAAGAAATTTGAGTCTGGTGTAGAGTGCATCAAAAATGCACCCAAATCATGTAGGCCAAAATCTGCATCTCGTAACGAAATCGTTTCCAAAATAAAGGATATCATTGAAGGCGATGCCAGATTTACAGTTCGTGATATTGCACGAAAGGTAGGCATATCACTTTCAACGGTTCACTTTATTTTAAAGAAGCATTTGAAAGTAAAAAAGATTTATGCTAGATGGATGCCACATCTGTTGACCGATGAGCAAAAGAGGCAACGGGTTAAGGTGGCCGTAAAGCTGCTTCAAATGTTTTCAAAATATGACAAAAAACAGTTTGCCAATGTCGTCACAGGTGATGAAACTTAGGTCCATTATTTTGAGCCCGTCAGAAAAGTTAGCAACAAAATCTGGGCCACTAAACACAACAAACGCCAAATTATTGCAAAAACAGTTTGCCAATGTCGTCACAGGTGATGAAACTTAGGTCCATTATTTTGAGCCCGTCAGAAAGGTTAGCAACAAAATCTGGGCTAATAGTCTATTCAACATTTTTCAACAGTTTTTTCAAGATTTTAAAAAAACTTACACTAAATGTTATAACATATGTACAGCACAATGCATTGGTATGACTACTGTTAATGTGTATAAAAAGGCAGTTTAAGGTTTCACTTCTTAGTACGCTATTTGGGGTGCAAAATGATAAATGCATCCAATCTTTACAGCCATTTTACCTTTCCCACTTTATAATATTAGCAAATATGGAAATTTGTCTAGATCTGGCAGCTGGTATAGCTTACAAAACAATTATTCTACAATCATCACATGAATAAAATTGATAACAATATAAGATTTTATAAATAAGGACCCCCATGTAAAGTCTGATGAATATTTAGTGGTACATCATATAAATAAATGTTTTAAATACACATAGGACTGAGGTAAATGGTAAAACTCTTTAGCCAATTCTTTATAAAAAAATTAACTTGCTTAGAATTTTTTTTTCCACTATTTTAAACAAGTGACTATTTTGATATAGTGAAAATTGGACAATTTATATTGTGTCACTTAAAACAAACAGTTTCTTATTGTTTTTCTGAAAACATCTGACAATTAATCAAGTGTGGCATTTCTGCAAGTTTTAAAGTTAATACAACATGTGACTTTATGCAATTTAGTCAGGCATGACATCAGTGCCACAGAATAAAGAATGTGTTTGAATTTAGGTTGTGATTGAAAATTGGTTGTTTCGGGATATAAACAACGCAACAGCCGAAATAAACATCAAGATTATCGCCGTTTTACTCCATTTACAAAATCTTTCCATAAATTCAAACGTGGCCCCAGCTTTGCCGTGTGCAAAATGCGCTGCGAATAGAAGATGGGAACCAGTCGGCTATGTTCGGAGCCATTCGGTAATATGTTGGTTCCCATACTTCAAAGCGGGGCGTATTTGTACACGGCAACGATAGACGAACTATCCTTTGTAACACTTGTTGGATGTTTGACTAATTGAGTCAGATAATATCATACCATCTTTTATTTGTAAAATTGGCTTGATTTCTTTTCGGGTATGTAGTTAAAGTCGCTAAGAATATGAGTTTTAAGGTTTTAACGATCAATCTTATCTAGACACTGTTCAAATGTGTCAATTCATTGGAAAATCGGCCCCTTCCTCTATTCAAATCGTCCGTCCGCCTGTCCGTCCATCCGCATTAAGCATGTCTGGCTTTTACAGGTCAAACTGCTGGAAGGATTTCAATGAAACTTCACAGGAGTGATCATGCAATACCATACCTGTTGTGCATATCGCGGGCAAGAAAATATGTAAACTAGGTATATGACTAAATGCGTTGGTATTTCTGCAGGAGCCGCTCATACAATTCTCAGACGTGATTTTAATATGAGAAGGATAAGTACCAGATGGATACCCAATCTGCTTACAAAAGAGCAAAATCTTGCTCGGGTAAGAATCTCCGAACAATTGTTGAAACAGGTCCCTAAATACAACAATCGATCTTTCGCAAATATCGTCACTGGAGTCAAAGCGAAAAATACATAACAAAATATGGGCAACCAAAGGAAGTCAAAGACCTTGCACTATGAGCGTCAAAAAGAGCATGTAAGTAATTTTCTTTACCAATCAATGTCTTGCTATTCAAATTGCCGTACCAAAGGGTAACTCTGTAAATGCCAAGTTTTACAAAGGCAAAGTTCATGAATTAAAAAAAATATTTCAAAAAAAAACGTCGACCAGCAACTGGTCTCCGTTGTGTCAGGCTGTTGCATGACAATGCTTCGTCACACGAAGCGGCCATTCTACGAGCATATCTGAAACAGGAAAAGGTTGTCGAGCTTCCTCTACCTCCTTTTTCGCCAGATATTGCCCTTGTGACTTTTTCTATTTCCGAGACTCAAAAAACACCTTGCTGGAAGAAAATATCAAACGCGAAAAAATCTCGGTTCGGGTATTTTCCAGTGTCTGAACAGTATACCTCGAAAAGGTTATGAAAACGCATTTAAATTTTTGGATTATAAGACTTAAACTTTGTATATCACATGGTGGTGAGAAATTTGAAGGATTAGGATAATTTGTTTGGCACTGTTTGTTATTTTCACTTCTGAAAATTGACGCAGTTGCATTCATATTTGACCACCCTCTTAATTCGTGCACCCCAGTTAACCAGGGTATATGTTTTAATTAAATCTTACACGTTTTCAAAAGTAAAGTCTCCAAACTATGATTCAATTGACGTTACAGAATTCATGTTTGCTCTTCCTAAAGAAGATAATATCTGTATTTATCCCTTTCTGAGGCGAAATGGGCATTTAAATATCCCAGTTAAAACTCGTGAGAAACAATATACCACCAGCGTCTTACTTCATAGCATATCTTTGAAATACACATTATATTGAGAACATACTTAAAATGTGATGTTTGAAAAGATTCGACAAAATGTTAAAATTCGTCATTTAGCGTTAAATGGTAACCAACATTTAATACAGTCGCATATATGCATAAAAGTTTATAAGAATAAATAGCATATGTACTTTTGCATACAATGTAGTTAATTTTGAAAATGATTGCGTTTTACATATAACTTTGTTTTACATTTTATGTTTTGTTCACCTGAAACCAAACTGAGAAAATTCGAAAACAAGCAATAATTTTTAATGAAAACCCAAAAGAACAGACGTAACCAACAAATATACCAAATGGAATAACAAATATATATACACATATAAAAAATTATAAAAATACAAAATACGCTGTGTCCGGATTCTGAATCCAAAGCTGGCTATTTAAATTTATACATGTGTGGTCTATTTACCTACAAACTATATGTATAGCACAATTGTACAATATTTTTGTCTTTAGTGTGTACAGATAAGTCCAACTTGAAGACTAAACAAGAACGTGTTTGTTAAACACAAATGCCCCCGGCTCCGATTCTTGTCAGTAGCAATATTTCAAAAAATGTTTACCCATTCAATCAGTTATGGACAGAAACATTGCCAAAAAATTGTAAGCACAAGTTATATAGCTGACAGAGTCATGGCATTTTGTAATTGTGAAATATATAAGTTGCCAAGTCATCGCTATGACTTGTGAAGTGATAAATATTCAACTTTATCAAATGTAAGAAATCTATACTTGGCACCCTTGACCTTGACCCACTGACACCTTTAGAGTATCATACAAGTTATCTTCCAACCAAATATGAAATACACCTGTCAATAAATAAAGGTTGTATGGGCAAAAATGTTAAAATCTATTTTGAGCAATGATGACCTTGACCCAACTGACCCCTAACTCCATCCAAAGTAAGAATAACATGCAAGTTATCTTCCTACCAAATATGAAATATATCTGTCAATAAATAAAGGCTGTATGGGCAAAAGTGTAAAAATCTATTTTTAGCACTAGTGACCTTGACACACTGATCCCTAACTCAATCAAAAGGAAGAATAACATGCAAGTTATCTTCCTATCAAATATGAAATACACCTGTCAATAAATAAAGGCTGTATGGGCAAAAGTGTAAAAATCTATTTTAGCCCAAGTGACCTTGACCCACTGATCCCTACCCCAATCAAAAAGATGAATAACATGCAAGTTATCTTCCTACCAAATATGAAATATATCTATCAATAAATAAAGGCTGTATGAGCAAAAGTGTAAAAATCTATTTTAGCACAGATGACCTTGGCCCAACTTACCACTAACTCAATCAAATTTTATGTTCCTATCAATTATAAATGACATATGTCTAGAGAATATGGTTAATACACCTGTAAAAATCTATTTTTAACATTGGTGACCTTGACATTGGTGACATTGACCTGGACCTAAATGACCCCTTTTTATACCCAAAGAAGGAGGACCTCCCTTGGCATGTTTGTATTAAACATGAAAGACATCAACCAAAAAATAAAGGCTGTATGAGCAAAATCGTTTAAATTTATTTTCTAAACCAGTGACATTGACCTTGACCCTAGAGACCACTTACTCCACAAAAAAATAGAGGACCATTAAAGGTATCCACCTACCAAATATGCAAGATATCATTAAATAAATTAAGCAATTAAGAGAAATTTACGATAAATCCAACTTGCCGGAATAGGTTAACCAGACAATGCCCTATTTTCAAAGTGAAAAAGGGAAATAACTGGGAAATATGGATGACACAGTTATATAACTTGGCAATATCATGTACTTTGTATTGATAAGTAAGTGTGGAAATTATGAAGCCATTAGTATAGATAGAACTTAAGATATTTCCAACTTGCCGTTTTAGGTTAACCATTATTCATTTTCTAAGTGCTGCAAAGGGCAATAACTTGGTAAATATGGAAGCCATAGTTATGTAACTTGACCAGATCATGTACTTTATATTGATTAGTGTGTAAACTAAGAAGCCATTTGTACAGGTAGAACTTAAGAAAAATCCAACTTGCCGTTCTAGGTTAACCTCGTACGTACAGACGGACAGACGGACGGACGGACAGACGGACGGTTCAATTTGCCCTGGGGCATAAAAAGTAAAAAAGAATGTTCTATTTATCACAAATTATCAAAATTAAGAATTAATTACAGTTAAAACGAACTTTTTTTCAATGACGCGCTTATACTATTATATAGTTATAAAGATTCTTGACAGGTTATATGGCCCTATATAAACGGCTGTTAGTAAATATAACCCGAGCCGTTAGGCGAGGGTTATATTGCAAACAGCCGTTTATATACGGCCATATATCCTGTCAACAATCTTTATAACGAATTTATAATACAGCACGCATCATTTTTTAGAGAAATAAGTAAGATTTCTTCATGAATCGACAGTAGCCGTGTATATAAAACTATATAAACGTCACGATTATCCAATGAAAAGCGACGTTACAAACGTGCAGTATTATAAGAGTAGTGTAACGCTAACATTAGCGCTTCTTTACGCCACGTTTCTATTACGCAAATGACGTCACATCAAAATGTATGCATGGCCTTGCAATACGTACTGTTAAAACAATATTGTATTCATGTCAAATTACACAGACGGCGGTGAAAGTCAAATTACGTGGATGGCGTCAGCACAGCAAAACTCAGATATTCGTAGATTTAATATAACACTCATTTTGAAAAACTTCATCAAATGTACACTACGTATATTATAATCATATATTAACCCATGAACCCATGAACTGGACGTAATCTGCAAACGATGAGCAAACGATTGTCACATTTTTTTTAAAGAATTTGTTTGCAGAATCATGTAATAAAACAAAATGAATGAATTAAACAAACGCTTTTTCAAGTTTTAAGTACGATTTTGAACTTATCATTTTAAACCAATAGGCGGATGTTCCTGGTCAGTTTGCTGTTGACCTTGAAATCCCGACGGAAGTGGCTGAAGTGGTTGTTGTCCGTATATCGCTTGGTATGCAGGTGGCGGAGCCGGGGCTGAAGGGTTTTGCATAAAGCTTGTTGTGACGTATTGTGGGTAAAGGCCTTGACTTTGTGGATACATTGCCACGTGCGAAACTGTCATTCCTGGAATGAATACCATTACAATATAAATTATCTAATTGAGTAACTAGTTACAAATCAATGAATATTATACATAATAATCTAAATTGACTCTTCTAAAAGTGTATTTTCAAAGACAGTACAAGCTAGGGTTCTTTCATTCTGTATCTATAACAATATAATACTGCACGTTTGTAATGTGATTTGTCATTGGACAATCGCGACGTTCATATTATTAGTTATAAAGATTGGTGACAGGTTATATGACCTTATAAAAACGGTTGCTTGGAAATATAACCCGAACCGCTAGGCGATGGTAATATTGCAAACAACCGTTTATATGCGAATTTGTAATACAGCAAGCATGTTTATTTAGAGAAAAAAGTGAGATTTCTTTATAAATTGACAGCAGTCGTGTATATAAAACTATTAAAACGTCGTTTACCAAGTTAAAAAGCGACGTCACACAAACGTTCAGTACTTTAATATTAGTTCGAAAGATTTTTGACAGGCTATATGGCCCTAAATAAACGGTTGTTAGCAGCTCGGATTATATAAGCAAACAATTATTTATATAGCATATAAATATAACCTGTCAAAATCTAGCCCTAGTTCAAGCGTGAAGCGATTTTGCATATTGTCAGTTATATGACTACTTCATGTAACGATGGCTATAGAAAGTGCCATAAATGACATTTAAGTTTTTTGTTTGTTTATTGCAATCTTACCTGATTCGGGCTGTACAATGCGGCCTGTCTTCCCTTTTTGTTTGATACAAACGCAGACGACACATACAATGAAACTTATTAGGAGTACTCCACCTATGACCCCTCCAGCTATCGCCCACCCTAGCCACGCCAAGTCTTCTTCACAGCAATACTCGTACGGCCAGTCCCCGCAGCATCCTTCATCGCAATAAAAATATTCATCGTTGTATCGATCAAGGTCAGTGCATGTCTCACCGGCTCGTGCTATTTCTAATAAGAGAAAGATAAATGAAAGACTTAAATTTAATAGAATAAAGTGCATTAATAATTTCAAGCTATTAGCTCTTCTTGTAACTCATATTCATGTTTCATTTTGTAGCGTACGTAGAGCTACTTCCTATTATCGCTGTAACTTGTGGTCCTTTACGAAGATTCACGAAAAGAACCGAGAAGTAACTATTTTAATGTATAACATTTTTGATATTCTAAAAGCCTATAACTTATTAATCTTTCATTATATTCGTTTTTCATTTGATTTGCTGCCTTACTTTTAATGTGCACCAGTTATTTGCTATATATATAAAGAAATCACATGTAACCAGCAACATAGTTCCTACTGTCTAGCCAGACTTGAAGCTGCAGACGGCAGGATGGGAAAAATAAATACAATTCTTATACAGTTTTCTGTTTTTTTTTCGGCAACAACAGTGTTTAGTGAGTTAATAAAGCTTATAAAATATGATAAACAAGATCAACAAGGAAAGGTGGCGTTCAATGAACGCAACCCCTACCGACCCAGCAACGAGAGCCAGTGGCAAGGAGCCCAGGAGGACCTCAAACAAAAACAAGACAGGGCAAGTTTGGATACCAATATAAGTTTGGATACCAATGACGTTTTAAGATGTCTATTGAATTTGAACTTTGGCGGTTTTAAAACTTTATTTACACTATTTGGAGGTCCAGACCGAAGTGACATCTGTGTGTGTGTGTGTGTGTGTGTGCGTGTGCGTGTGCGTGTGCGTGTGTGTTTTAGTTTTATTTATACTTGGCGCCGGCTTTGCCGAATGTCCCAGACTATCGGCCTCTGTTACGTCGCTGGTCGTAGAGCCTGCAACGTAGGGCTTAGTTCGCCTGCAACGTCGTTGATTGTAGAGCCGGAACAGAGGTCTTGTCATGCCGTCTTTCGTCGTAGATCTTCTCTAGGACCCAGTTCTTCGCTTCTAGAACGCAGAAGACAATAGGAGGAAAGGCACTTCTTCCGGGAGCAGCAGCTCTTTGTAGGGCCACATCCTTCGCCGTTGGTTAGGTCACACCAGCTAAGAGACGTATGCCCTCCGAGCGTCGTGCACGCCGGAAGGGAAGTCGGAGGTGACAACATTGGTTGGATTCCGCTTTTAATAAGGTTCGATGTTTGAAATCCACCAATTAAACACCAGAAATCCGGAAATCCTCTGATGGACAGAGGGCCAGATTTCTGAATCTGAATCTTGGATTTCAATGGCGGCCATATTGAAATCCCATATAAAATCTGCATACGAAAATTGTTAATACACAAAAACTTGTAGTAGATACTTAAGGATTTTTGACCTTAATCAAATAAATACTTTACATCAATTACGTTCTTGAATTGAATTTGACTGAAATTGATATTAGCAATAAGAAATCAACAATATAAAATATGTAGTGACAGATTTCAAAGATGTCTGTCATTAGACGTCTGCTAATGAGGAAATTTAAAGAACAAATCAGTTTTCTGTTATGCATAAAGGTAAGTTTAACATTTCTATCGGCTTAAATTGCAAAGTGTCAATACAGTGTTCCTTGGTCAATCAGGTAAGTAAATATTTTTCTTGTAGAAGTCAACAATATATGAAAGCTATGGGATTTCACAATGTCACTTGGATTTCATTACAAGTTCTGTTGTAAGAACATTTTAGAATTATAATAGAATGTCAGACCCTTACTCTAATAATATTTGTATTATGTTGCGGTTTAGATCGAAATATGCGTCCCAAGGGGACCCGCCGCCCATGGGCGGATACCCGAGGGACGGATATTCCGATCCGAATCGCAAACATATGTCAGATAATTTTTTCTTGCATATTCTGCAATATAATAACATATGTAAAATGGTTTACCTCAATAACATATTTTGTTTATGGAAATTAATGTCATTTCATCCATGTATGAATTAACAAGGCGAAATGTCGTCATCTTGAGCACATTGTTCCCTTCTAAACACGTAGAAATGACGTCATTTTAACGTGGTTCATTTATAAAATGCGCTAAAATGACGTTTTTGTATGGCATGCGACTCATATGGCACCACCATGCCAGATGAAATTTCCGGCATGGGAACGCCTGTCCAGCAAGAATGGCCATATCATAGTCAAATATGTCGTATCGTCTACGCCACTCTCATATTATTTTGGACCAAAAGACATATTTTATTGCCACGGCAACAGCCATATAATAGTAACTAGAAATGTGTCATCATGCCACGGATGCCCCCGCATGCAGCCAAAATTTCAGATGTTATAATATTTAGTTCCAAATTTGTTTGCACAAATTATTTTTTTCATTTTAAGTTCAAAGCCCTTAAAACTTTTCAATGTAAATTGCATATTGCATATTTGTAGCCAAAATAATGGCTACATACATTTCCACAGAAGTATGAGTGCTGAAACTGAAAATTCAAAATTTTTCCAACATTCAGGAAAGATAAGTTTGTCCAAAGTCATTGAACCACGACCAAATTCAAACTTAAAATGCTTATTCTTCAGATGTATCTATATTTGAATTTGAGTTGAATGTGTACAACCATTGGAGAGATAATGAACGGAAACTTAAAATTTCTGATTTTTTTTTCAAAGTTCAAAAGGGATAACAATGTGAGCTATCATCAAACCATGACCAAATTCAAAATTTACCAATGCATTCTTATGACATATCCATATCTTTATTTTGAGTTGAATACGTACAACTGTTGGGGAGATAATGAATGGGAACTGAAAATTTCCTTTTCCAAATTGTCCAAAGTTAAAGAAGTTAAAAGGGCATAACTCTGCCAAAAATCATCAAACCATGACAAAATTAAAACTTGACATGCGCATTTCTTTGACATATCCATATGTCAGTTTGAGTTGAATGTGTAATACCCTAGAGGAGATAATGAACGAAAACTGAAAATTTCATATTATTTTCAAAGTGAAAGGGACAGAACTCTTGCCAAAAAATCATTGAACCATGACCAAATTCAAACTTGACCTGCGCATTCCTTTGACATATCCATATGTCAAATTTGAGTTGAATATGTAACACTGTTGGGCAGATAATGAACAGAAACTGTAAATTTCATATTATTTTCAAAGAGAAAGGGGCATTACTCTGCCAAAAATCAATGCGAACTTGGCCTGCACATTTCATTGACTTATCCATATGTCAAATTTGAGTTGAATGTGTAATACTGTTGGGGAGATAATAAACGGAAACTGAAAATTTATATTATTTTCAAAAGGAAAGGGGCATAACTCTCCAAAAAAATCATTGAACCATGACCAAATTCGAACTTGACCTGCGCATTCCTTTGACATATCCATATGTCACGTTTGAGTTGAATGTGTTGTACTCGTTGGGGAGATAATGAACGGAAACTGAAAATTTCAAATTATTTTCAAAGTGAAAGGGGCATAACTCTGTCAAAAATCATCGAACCATTACCAAATTCGAACTTGACCTGTATTTTCTAATGACATATCTATATGTCAAGTTTGAGTTGAAAGTGTTGTACCGTTGGGGAGATAATGAACGGACACTGAAAATTTCATATTATTTTCAAAGTAAAAGGGGCATAACTCTGCCAAAAATCATCGAACCATGACCAAATTCGAACTTGACCTGTATTTTCTCATGACATATCCATATGTCAAATTTGAGTTGAATGTGTGCAACCGTTACTAAGATAATGAACGGAAACTGATGATGACGGAATGACACAATGACGGAATGACGGAAGGACGGAAGGACGGAATGACGTAAATGCCCCGGCCATTATATGGCGGGGGTATAAAAATGTCGTGTCGTCTACGCCACTCTCATATAATTTTGGACAAAATGATGACATTTTATCCTCAACCATATGTATATACATATATGATCGTGATAGTTATGCCATTATCGCAACAGACATGTCATAATCGAGTCATTGCTTTCATTATCGCATGGTTTGGAACTTTTCCTTTGTTCTTACTAACCCATTATACTCAGCACACTTCAATAACCATTTGAAAACTGTATTGATATATAGCAGTACAGTTTTTTCATTGATTCATATAGGAAAAAAACTCGACTGCTATAAGGCGGTTGAGTTTTTTTTTCGCACCTTGTATATAAAAATGTAGTTTTTCTTTTCACATAGGCTCCAATGGGGCCGTGGTAACGAACATTCCCAGGAGCAAAAAAAAAAAAATGGAATCAATAAAATAAAATAAATAAATGAATACAATGAAAAATATAAACGCAGATAATTAATTAAATGAAATTTAACGGACTCGCAATTTTTTTTAGCAGAAACATCCCTTGATGTCGCCCCAGCCAGTGTTATATCCTCGTTACTAACTCGTTTCATATACTACATGTATAACTATTACATCAATACGTCTCTTTTCATGGCATTTTAAACTATCGACATAGTCATGTTTTCATATGCATTGCTTGCCGTTTAATTTCGACATACTAGTATATTTAACATTCTTACACGTGAAATAAGGACTATTTTGTTTGAAAAATCTGATAAAATCAAACCGAGCCTGCAAGATTTTCAATTCTGCCATTTTGGACTTTCTTTAGGGATTCTTATTTTCTCTATTTTATCGCCACATCAGCATTTGTGCCGTGTGGAGGCTGTAAAACGTTGCCCCGTACATTCAATCAGAGATGTTTTATTTCCGATCCTTAAAGATCGTTCAGCACGACATTATTGTTGTGTTTGTGGTACATTTTAGTTTAAACTATTTGTCATCTAGTTGGGTGGCTCCAAAATTATTCCTACTTGAATAATGTATAATCACCCTTAGGATATGCTGCCTGCATTATAATTTTGTCTTTTGACGTATTATCTCTGATCACCTTTTAAAATTTGATTTTGTTTAGTTCCGTCCATTGTTTTCTCGTTTAGGGCACACGCCTCCTATTACTTGGGGACCATATGCCGCTTTTTGTGGAATGGCATGGAAGTGTCACATTGAAGCTTCCATGATAACCGCCGTTTTAAAACACATCGCGGATTTTTTCCCAAAATTTTCCAAAAATTTTTCCCAAATTTTCATTTTTAAATGTTGAATTCTTTCTTAATCCCGGGGGCTAGGGGACGTGGACGGTATTTTCACTTAGCAGTTAAAAGTTCCCGGGAAAAGACCAATCAAAAATGAGCCTGCCCAAAATTTTTAATTTTGGGCCCTTTTGGAAATTTCCTTTTTGGATTTTTTATTTTTTTATTTTTCCAAATCCCTCCAAATTCCCTCCCCAAACGTGCCCCGTTCGCGGAGTAAGGCACGCGGCAGGTTTTATTGTCAAAGTCATCTCAACTTTTCCCGAGATGATTAATTGAAACCCGTCCCTGGGTTTATTAAATTTTTCCCTATTTTAAATCTTTGAGGGAAAGGCCCCTTTAAAGATGGTGTTCTTGGGCAGATTATCCCTTTTTAAACGTGATGCCTTGGAAAGTCGTCTCTTTCACAACGAAGAACAGGTTAAAGGAATATGCATGAAAATCGCCGCTGATGTGACAAGCAAGTGCGCAGATAGTCCATATGGTTAAATCCATCCGTCGGCCAGTATATATAAACTTTTAAACAAAAACAATTATTGGCAGTCAAACACTGTTTTTTTTCTTTGTGTATAGTCACAAAATTAGGAGCAGTGTTGAAGAATTGTAATTGATCACTCAGGCCTGCGGCCTTCGTGATTATATTACTTCGCTTCTTCTGAACTCCATACCGTGCTAATCATTAAACATATCAAGATCTATTTCCTTACTAAAGTAATATAATTATTGACGTTAATGTACACAAGTTTTTTATAGGCAGAACACAGGTTGTCTGTTTAACGTACGTCAGATATACAAATGTACATGTATGTAATTATCGAGAGATAATTGATTTGTAAGTACATTAGTAAGTGTTAGTAAGTTAAATGGTAAATGTAGGAAATGTCTCCAAATACTCCCCGACGAAAACATTTAACCTGAGACTATAGCCCCGAACAGAACTTAATGTGCCTTCGTTCGTTTACTCAGTTACAAACGGACACTTGGTAAATTCTAGGTGCCGTAGGTTAATCCTTTCCTATCAGGAAAAAAATAATTGAACTTTGATTTTTTTCAGTAAAAGATTTGTAATAAAAATATCGTTGACAGTATATTTACAGTTTGTTTGGTGTTCTTAACTTCCTTCTTGGCACAGAAGTGACATACTATACGACTTCTCGAGATACATTGTAATGCATGGTTCCCTGACATGTCTAATTCTAATTATTAGATTATTGGATACAGTAAGAATGTCACCACAACATATTCCTTAACAAAATAGCACATATCAATGTTTGTGGTTAAATCTATCGTTGTTCAGTAGGGATTTATCAACAGAAGTACTTTTAATGTCGTTCCTGTGCCACCATACATATTTGGTGAAAAGACCTTTCAATAATTTGATAGATCTATACTCTAGTTTTCCTGAGTGCTAGTAATTTATTTAGACTAATTTGAATTGTCTGTATGCAAATATTCATACGAAAGGTAGATATATATACTATATACTGCCTGATTTTAAGGGTAAATTTCGAATAGTTCCGATGAATGAAATAAAACAAAAAGTTACTGTTAATTATATAAATTTACCTATTTGTGTTACTCCAAATATAATCCAAAATAAAACGTTTTTCATTTTTAAAAGTAACATAGATTTAAATGATAATGATAATAATAAAAAAAACCACAAACAAATTTATATCTGTCAAAAAATTGACATGTGACGATAGGTTATTTCGTGAGTTGTATTAATACTTTTACTAGATCTTTGTTAACATGATACCATTGTATGGTATTTTAAAAGACAAGTAGTATATGTCTATCGATTTTGAAAACTACGTAAATTAGGAAAGTTTTAAACTCTGAAAACGAAAGATTATATATTAATAATTAGTAGACATTATTGTTAAGTTGCATTATGCTTTTGTGTCAGTCTTAAATGACAATAACACTTTTAAATTAAGGTCAAACATAAATGCTATTTATTGAACATTACTGATAAGGCTTTTACATCAATTTTGTTTCATAAGTATAGTGTTAATCTATAGCATTGTTTGTTTAAATGAACACTTAAGTTCAGAGAAAAAAAATATGAAAATAATATATATGTAAATACGTAGTAAAAATGTTTATGTTTTCGATTATGCGTCTTCTTTAAATATAGCTAAAATTTACCTAGTAAATTAATTGTTATGTTGTTTTTGTGTTTTGTTCCGGCAAGCGCAACATACACTTACACGAATATGTGTAAATATAATGTTTTTAAATTCACGCAAATCTTGTCAACGGATAGAAAATTCCGTATTATGTTAGTGACAAATACGGTACCATATATGGAAGTGCATCTGTGCATAACGTAGCATTTAAAAAGGGAACCAAAAAAAAACAACAAAAAAAACGCGTGCCTGATTTTGCAAAACTTACGTATTCATCCGTGATTCATGAATTTATTTCTTAGAGACAATTTCTAAGTATAACTTCTTGCCTGCGTGTTTTTTAAAACATAACATGTGCACCATTTAGCAAAAATATATCTCCGTTGCGAGGTGTTATCACTTTTGCTATTGTAATTGACAAATATAAATTGCAAATATTAGAATATTTGAAAATATTAGGTACCAAATTTGTAAATGATACTACATTATTTAGTCAATAAATACCTATAATTATCAAATAATTTCATTACGAATATTTAATTTTTTTCTTTCTGAAAGAGACCCGAATCATCATTCGGATATCTTTTAGAAAGAAAAAATGTTTAATTCTTAATGAAATTATTTAATAATTATTAAACATTTTTTGTTTTTTTATAAAATAATAAAAACAATACTAGGGTTTGAACCTTCAACCGTCAGTTTTAACGCAGTTGACCCTACTATTTAAACACTTTCAAAGCAAAAATAATGCATTAGGGTGGTCATAACTTAAATCCAAGGTTGGCAAAGTAAGAATCAAATAAATGGAAAATAATGAGAAAGAGAAAGGAATTGCGAGTTTAAAGATGTATTCTTGTGGGCATAGAGGCAAAATTAAAACACTCAATAGAATTTGTTTAAAACTTGGCATTTTGTTATTATAACAAAACAATTTTATGAGAAAAATATGGGAGTCACCCTTAAGACAATTCATAATGAAGGTAGACTATATTTTTTTTTCTCAATTTAGGGTAAAGTCATTGTGCAAAATTTCAAGAAGGAATAAAAAGTAGGTTGTTTTTGTTTGTCTTGTTCTTGTTAACCTTTTTTTTTAATTCCCTCTTTTTTTAAGAATTCTAAGATAATTTATTCAAAATTGCAACAGAAATAATTTATGGAATTGCATGTTATTATGTAGTGTGATCAACAATAAAAAAGTAAAATAACTCAAAAGTGATATCGGTGACACCCAAAATTACTCCGCTCAACAGATTTCAAACGACACGCCAAGTTTTAAGAAATTCTATCGGACATTTTTAATTCTGATTTTATGTCAATATAAAAACTCCCGAAATCCCCCTTAGGCAAAATTTAGTACTTTTTTTATTGTAAAGGTCAATGTCAAATGAAGGTCAAAGTCAAATTCTTTTTAACCATCTGAGAGATATTTTCTTTATGTTCATATGTTCAGTCATGATTATCAAATATATCAAATGGGGGGATATCAAAATCAAAGAATTTGACATGGTCATTAATTGGTCCAGGTCAAATTTCTGATGATATACTTGCATACAAGTAAACTTCAAGTTATTTACTCCTTGCAAGATCGATTAAAACTGATTAAGCTGTTCTGAGGAAGACAAAATTGTGTCTACATGCAGACAGCCAGATGGTCAGATGAACTGTTAACAAACTAAGGATAAGATAAGAAGGGATAAAACTGATGTGACATGTGATAAGTAACAAGTATGATTATAAAATTTTAAAGTAAGATAATAAATTCAAAGAAAATAACTCTTGAAACAAAGATACTAGAGATATGAACTTTGTCATAATATGATAAATGACAAAGAACAATTATCGTTCATATCATTTATAATCATGGGATGTTACTGATCACTTCCGTGAATGTTTATTGAAATCTTGCTAGCAGTTTGACCTGTAAAAGCCGGACAAGCTTAAAACGGGCGATAAAGGTAGAGGAAGGGGCCAATTTCCAAGGGGCACTTATTAAATGGCCTGCAAAAGCAGTTCAATTTAAATTATTCAAATGACCCTTAATATCAAAGGGCCTGTAAAATTGTAGTACAGACAGACAATCTAAATAGAGGAAGAGGCCTTTAATCAAGGGACCCTCTATGGTTCCTACAAAGCATACTCATTTAAATTGTGCAAAAGGCCCCTCATATCAGATTGCCTAAAAATATGGAGACAATTCAATTCGAGGCTGTTTTAAAGGAACCTTAAAATTGTATGTTTTTAAATTATTGTTTTGTAAATTTTAAGGCCCTTGTATTAAAGATCCCGTTAAATACTCAAAGACATAGTTCATCACTATATGCAGCAATTCTTTGTCTTAAAGGGCATATTTGATATAAATAAACATTTTGATTATAATTTCACATGTTCAAAGTACTGGATTACAATGGGCCGTTTTAGATCAAAACCACCTTAAGAAATTTAGCACCCATTGGACAAAATTGAACCATTTATTACTAGCGAATTGAATTTTCGCTTACCATCACTATTAGTGGTCTCCCGAATTTAAGGGGCCTTAATTTCTCATCAACTATAGCAGGCTATTTAATAATCAGCTTGTAATAAAGAGAAAGTTTTATCAAGACAGAAATATGTCGAGTGCAGCATATTTTAACCATTTAAAACCCCTGTTTATAAAACATTTGCTGTGCCCAATCAACAAGTGAAACAATTTCTCTTTATGCTACTGTTGTTAATTATTTATAAATTTACACTTTATACATCAAAATAAAGGTTTCTGTGGTTTTCATACTGCAACGTTCTCCTGTGAATTTGACAAATGTGAAGAAACAAATGGCCACCACCGAGTATAAACTTATTAATGAAGTAAGTCAAAAGTTTCTGCAAGATGACATGAACAATAAAGATACAGACTTGTTTAGACTTCTAGATATTTGAACAAACACGGTTTATTGAAAAATTATAAAATTGAACATTATTTCAATCAATAAGACCATAAGCAACAGAAATAAATTTGAACACAACGATCAATATACAACAGATGTGAATAAGAACATCAGATCTTTTTCAATGAACTAAGTAAAGACTAACAAGAGCAACCGCCGGACGTAGCCAGTGATTGGCCTTTTTTTTTTTTTCTAAAATCATAATTGAAATTACGAAACAAGAGGGCCAAGATGGCCCTAGATCGCTCATCTGACCCATCGAACTCATCCGAACAATTACCTAGATAAGCATTCTGACCAAGTTTCATGACGGGTGAGTCAACAATGTGACCACTAGAGTGTTAACAAGGATTATCCATATTTGAGCAATGTGACCTAATTTTTGACCCTAGGTGAGCCATATTCGAACCTGACCTAGAAATAATCAAAACAAACTTTCATACCAATTTCCATGATACTTGGATCAAAACAGTAGCCACCTAAGTGTTAGCAAGATGTTTCTATCTTTAGCTCCTGTGACCTAGTTTTTCATCCGAGATGACCCATGTTCGAACTCATCCGAGCAATTACCTAGACAAGCATCCTGACCAAGTTTTATGATAATTGAGTAAAAAATGTGACCATTAGAGTGTTAACGAGGTTTTTCCACATGTGGGCGGTGTGACCAAGTTTTTCATCCGAGATGACCTATGTTCGAACTTGACCTAGAAATCATCAAAACAAACTTTCAATACAATTTACAGGATATTTGGATCAAAACAGTAGCTACTAGAATGTTAACAAGATTTTTGCTATTTTTAGCTCCTGAGACCTTGCTTTTCATCTGAGATGACCCATATTCAAACTCATCTGAGCAATTACATAGACAATCATCCTGACCAAGTTTGATGATAATTGAGTAAAAAAAGTGACCACTTAAGTGTTAACAAGGTTTTTCCATATTTGGGCAGTGTGACCTTGTTTTTGACCCCAGTTAACCCATATTCGAATTTGACCTAGAAATCATTAAAACAAACTTTCAGACCAATTTCCAGGATAATTGGATCAAAACAGTAGCCATTTGATTGCTTGCACGATTTTTCTTTTTTTAGCTCCTGTGACCTTGTTTTTCATCTGAGATGACCCATATTCGAACTCCTCCGCGCAATTACGTAGACAAGCATCCTGACCAAGTTTGATGATAATTAAGTCAAAAATGTGACCACTAGAGTGTTAACAAGGTTTTTCTATTTTCAGCTCCTAGTTTTTCATTCGAGATAACCCATGTTCGAATTCATCCGTGCAATTTTGTAGACAAGCATTCTTACCAAGTTTGATGATGATTGAGTTAGAAATGTGACCACTAGAGTGTTAACAATACGGACATTCAACGATCGTAAAAGCTCACACTGAGCTAGCTCAGGTGAGCTAAAAGCAATTTAAAAGATGCACACATTGCTTTTTTCGTAATTTCAATTTTGGTTCTACTCAAGTAATTTTTAAACGTCTTGGACGAATTTCGTGTTTTTCGTTTATTAAATTCACAATTTCAACTAAACGAATTCACAATATTAACCTCATTCAACTTTCAACGGTCATAATACTTTGTTTTCATTGACAATTATTTTACATATTATGGAACGCCATTTTATCCTCATTTTGAGATATTTTAAAATGTCATTCAGTTTGCTCGTCCGATATTTATTTAAGTAT